GATGTCTTAAAACTCACCAGGCATCCCTTCAGGGGGGATGGCCATGCTGCAATCTATTCTCCTCACGGGATCTTGGGCATGCACGCACATGTGTCTAGCGTAAATTTTAAGTCACTAAGTCCAGGACTCAAATCATAGTCAAATAATGGTAGTTCAGCAACATAACCATTATGCAGTCTGTTAGTTCTGACAGTGAAAAGATTCTGAAAGCCACACAAGAGAAGATACAAATAATCTAAAAACTGCAACCAATACACAAGACAATGAACTCAAAAAAACGTGTAGGCCAAGAGGAAGTAGTTGATATATTCAGAATGCTGAAGAAAAAAAAAATCGTCAGCCAAGAATACATACCTGGAAAAGCTATTCTCAGAAATAAAGCAGAGACAAAGACTTTCCTAGAAAACTAAAGCTGAGAGAATTTAAGGCGAACACTTATAAAAGATACACTAAAAATTAAAAGTAAGTGATTAGGACATATTACTAAGGAAAAAAATCTCAAGAAAAGATATAAATAAATAAAGGTAGAATACAAAACAATTTAAAAGCAAGTAACTAAAAAGTAGCAATAAATCCTTATTATCAATAATTAACTTGACTGTACATGTATTGAATTATTCAATTAAAAACACAAAGTAGCTGAATAAATAAAAACCAAACTCCAATTATACGCTACCTAGAAGAATCTCACCTCATCTGTAAAGACCCTCATATTTGATATAAAGTGGTTAAATATGGAAGATCTAATGTGAAGTGAAGTAAGCCAAACCGAAAGAGAGGCGTTGTATATCCCCACTCAATACGTACTGAATGTATGAACTTAGTGGAAGAAACTGAAAGATTGGTACGTATAAAAACACGGAGAGCAACTATGGATGCTAGAGACAGTGGAGGAGGAGGGTGGAAAAAGGGAGGGGATTGAAAGGAAAAAGAGGAAAGCAAAAGAGACACAAAAACAGAAAATTATCTACTGATAATGTGTATGGCAATATCTTTGATTGGACTAATACACAGTGTATTCATGAAGGTTAAATTAATTTGGTATGCTGTAATGATATACAGTGATTGAATATAAAATATTAAATTAAATTGAAAGAATGAAAGTGAAGGAAAGGGGAAAAATATTCCCAGAAATCTTAAATGAAAAGAAACAAAGATAAAAAAGAAAAAAAAAAAAAGAAAAATACAACAAAACAGTAAACTAGAGACCAATGTCCCTGATAAAATATAGATACATGGGAAAGCTCTGGGTTTGTGTCAGGAGACTTCCTTAACTACATCAGACACACACAAGCCCATGATCCGCCTTGGCTGAGGCTGGGGGAGCTTTGTGACATCAAGACTCTGTTGGAGGTTTCTCTCACTCTGTCTCCCATCTCAAGAAAAAAAGAAATAAACTTTTAAAATAATAAAATGTAATCTAATACTTTTGCTGGAATTACTGAGAAAACATCCCTTCCTTCCTGATTAAGTTATTGAGTAAGTGTTTTAATACTGGAGGCCAGTCTGGAGTGGTACATTTAGGATGCAAGACACTGTTTTCTTTTGTCCAGTTGTGCTAATTCATATTCTATCATTTTAGCTTCTGATGTAATCCTCTCTTTCTGACTCATGGGATGAAGACAAGGGAGAGTAAGAAATCTCTTTAGTGTCCCACATAACTCTATGACTGTCATTTTCTTGGGTCTACGAAGCCTCTTACCCAGAAAAATTTCTTCGACATTAGCTATCTCCACGACATTGGACCCTAGTGATAATTTTCTCCAGGAGATCCCTAACGTCCTTTTTATGCAAGAGGCCTCAGCTCTTAATGTGGAGATGTGCTATTAAACTTGTTTCATTAATATTTTATTGAGGATTTTTCTATCTATATTTTATAAGGGACGTTTGTCTTTGGTTTTCTTTTTGTTATATCCTCTGTTTTTGTTGTCTTTGTTTATTAAAATTTTTGTTCTTAGAAATATTTTCCCCATTTCCTTCACTTCCATTTTTAAAATTTAATTTCATTACTATTACATTAATATTTTATTTAATGTCAATTAAATTATTAACATTAATAAATTATTTAATATTAAAGATACATTATACATTACTGTCAACTAAGGCTTGGGTAGGTGGCTTGATAGTCTTGTCTGGGATCTCCTACATATTCTAGCCCTAGCTATTTTAAGTCTAATCTAATATGATCTTGATCTGAATATTGGTGCTCACTCTCTGGTAGTCTGTCATCCAGAATGTTAGTCTGGACTTGTTCTCTTGACAGATAGTACCACGGAGAAAATGGAAGGGCACAAGGCCTCCTAGGTACAGATTCAGAACTGGAATTTCATTCTTGTCTACCACCTTGCATCAACCAAAGTGAGTGGCAAGAACTGACCAGAGTCTCAGTGGGAAAGAATGAGGTTGAGTAGATATTCAGAGGTTATGACTGTGTCCACAATGTAATACATCTACTGAACATGCTTATTATGTGCCAGGTATTTCCCTAAGGGTTGCATAATTTATTTTATTCAATCTTTAGCAGTGCCCATAATACTACTTCATCCTCTGTCATTGTTCATACAGGTCTGACTAAATGGAAACCCTTATAATGTGGCAAACAGAAGCAACTTGCTCATGTTTTTAAATTCAACTTCAATGCCATCACTTTCAGTTTTCGTTTAGTCAAGTGACTGGATCAAGGGATTTTTATCTATACCCCCTTAGTGTTTTAATACTGGAGGCCTGTAAGTTCCTGCATCACATTGATTGAATTCAATTAATTTCTATGCCTCTTCCATTAAATGTACATTTCTTGTCCCCAGGAACTGGGTAGGTAATTTATCTTGAGCCAGTTACTTAATCTTCCTATATCTCAAGTGGCTCATTTATAAGCAGGGTAGTAGTGCTAACAAATCTACAGACACTTAGTTAAGATTCAATGTGTTAATATTTATAAAGTGCTTACAAGATGATTAGGATATTTTAAGTGCTCAATAGTGTTAGTCACTATTACTACTTATATTGGCACTGTCTTACACTTTTTCTGGCACAATGCACATAACCCAAAGAGTGTAGATGAGCTAGAAAAGTTTAGACCTTTGGTGAAAATATACTCTCCCATTTCAAGGGGTTGCTGATTTATTTTAACTATTGTCTCTTTTGTGTGCAGAAGCTTTTTAAATCAAAACCAGATGAAATACCACTTAACCCCAGTCAGAATGGCTGAAATAAAAAATGAAAGTAAGCTAAGTGTTGGCAAGGTTGTGGTGGAAAGGTAACTTTCCTACACTATTGGTGGGAATGTAAATTATTACAGTCACTGGGGAGAACAATATAAAGGTTCCTCAAAAACATAAAAATAGAACTACTATATTACTCAGCAATTCCATTTCTAGGTATCTATCCAAGTGACAGGAAAATGCTCAGTAAGAAAAACACTTGCACATCCATGTTTATTGTAGCATTTTTCACAATTGCTAAGACATGGAAACAACCCAAATGTCTATGAACTGTTTGATGGATTGAAAAAGGGTGGAACATATACACTATGGAATATTACTCTGCCATTAAAAAATGAGACCTTGCATTTGATAGAAAGTAGACAAATATGGACGTTTTACTGCTAATGGTAGCAAGCCAGACTAAGGAAGAGAGGCATTGTATGTCCCCAACCAATATATACCGAATATTAGCATTAGATGGCAGAAACTGAGTAACTGGAACTTACAAAAGCATAGAGAGCAATGGTGATACTGGAGGCAGTGTGGGAGGAGGGTGAGAAATGAGAGAGTGTGATAGGGAGGGAATCATGGGAAAGAAGCAAGAAACAAAAAATTTATGGGACCCAAAATGGAAAGAAATCTATTGATTATAATTTATATGGTAATGTCTTTGACTGCACCAATATGCAGTGTATTCAGAATAGGAAAATTCATTTGGTATGGTGTAATGATACACAGTGATTGATTATAAAAAATAAATGCATAATTTTAAAAATTAGTTACTCATTATAAAAGTGATAAACTAATGTGCTTTTCTTACTTATAGAACACTCAATCTTAAGAGATAGAAAATAAGGTAAGTAATGGGGGAAGGCTTCTCAGGAAATTACAGTTAATCTGGTTATGGGTTAAGACTTAGGACCAAAAGTTAAAGAGAAACAGAGGGAGGTCAGCAGATGGCGTAGAGGTTACTTGGCTAGACTGCCACACTGCAAACCACAGTTTGAGTAGTAGACACATTGGCCACCAGATGCATATATGTGCGAGCCCAAGATCTTGGGAGGAGAAGGAGTTGCAGCATGGCCATCCCCCTTGGAAAGTGATTTCTCACTTTACTTCTCAGTCTTTCTCTCTCTGACACTCTCTCTCTCCCTGGTGAGCACACATGCCCTAGGGCAAAAACTTCTACCAAAAAAAAAATAGAGAGAGAGAGAGACTCAGAGGAACGGCCATAAAAGGAAAAAGGGGACTCATTTTCAGAGAGGGAGATGAATTGACATTGAAGTGAGAAAAGACTTTCATTGCTCTGGGGCAAATGGGAAAAAGAACAATGGGACTGATGCATGTGAAGATGAGGGACTCAATAAGTGTTTGGCATGGCCGGCAGATGATATGGTAGTTAAGGAAGTGGACTTCTTGACTGATCATAGTTCAAGTCCAAGACCTAGTGGCTTGTGTTCTCTCTCTCTTGTGATTACATGTGAAAATTAAAAATAATAATAATCAATATAATTAAATAATTATATTTTTTAAAAGTGTTGAGAGAGATGGAAGCACTGGCAAGATGAAAAGGAGGTTCTAAGACAAGTCAAAAGTTTCTAAGAAAATGAGAAACCAAGGAAGGGTAATAGTGTGAAACTATCATAATCTTCACATTATAAATACTCAGATCATAAAGCAGACTAATATTTTTGAAGGTCCCATTGACTGCCAGTGGAGAATGGACTTTATCATTTCTAACACATTTCTGAAAGAACAACTCCGGATGGAAAATACATCATATTATAGGCAAGACTATTACCTACCAACCACAATCTTTTGTTTCAGCCATAGTTTTTTCATGGCATTTTTCACCTCTGCATTCCTCAAAGTGTATATCAAGGGATTTAACATGGGTGGAACCATTGTATCAAACACAGTTATAGCTTTGTCTATGGGGTAGGTAGCCACAGGTCTCACATACAAGAAAATACATGGCACAAAAAACAACATGACCACTGTGAGGTGGGAGCCACAGGTGGAGAGGGCTTTGAGCTGCCCTTCAGAACTGTAAGATTTCAGGGAACAAAAGATAACTATATATGAAGCAATTAGGATAAAGAAGATAGCTATACACATCACCCCACTGTTGAGGATGACTAAGAGACCCAGGGTGTGAGTGTCCATGCAGGCAAGTTTCAACAGTGGAAACAAATCACATATAAAGTGATCAATGACATTGGGGCCACAGAAAGGTATTTGGTACATGAAGAGAAGCTGTACTGTGGCATGCAGGGATCCCCCCACCCAAGCCCCTCCCACCATCAGGCAGCACACCCGAGGGCTCATGATGACCATGTAGTGTAGGGGTTTACAGATGGCCACATAACGGTCATAGGCCATCACGATGAGCAGGATGATGCCTGCAAAAAGACAAGAAGGTAAGAAAGAAGTACATAGGTGATCGTAGATTCTGACTTGCTATTAAGGTTACTATAATGAGTAAGTTTCCCAAAAGAGTAGCAACATACATGATTAGAAACACAGCAAAAAATATTTTCCTCAGCTCTGGGTTCTCTGTAATACCCAAAAGGATGAATTCTGTCACATTATTTTTGTTTTCCATTTATCAGGTATTGGCATGAGTTCCAGCTGAAAGTTGGGAAACCTAGAACAATAAATATGTAGTTTTACTTAGTTGATTATTAGGCCTCTTGTATTTCCAGGATCTTGGGGAGCTTGTTCTTCATAATTATACATTTACTCACCCTCCAAATACTTAACTTTTAAGAACCTACTAAATAGGGACCAGCAGATGGCATAATGGTTATGTTCCTGGACTCCCACATATTCTACCACGGTTTGCGGCTTAAAACTGATATTGGGCTTGTGTGCATGTATGTCCAAAATCCTGAGGAAATGGAGGAGAAGGGATTGCAGCATGGCCATTCTCCCTTAAGAGTGACTTCTTGATTTCTGTCTCTGGCAAGCACACGTGCCCTAAAACAAAAATCTCTCTTAAAAAAAAAAAAAGAAAAGAAAAAAAGGATGTACTAAATAAAGAGTTTAAAATGCAGATACTTCATTAATGCAAGTTTACTTCATGTCTCTTCTATTTATTCGTTGTCATTATTTTCCTTTTTTTTTTTTTTTTTTTTTACTGTTACCCGAG